AAGTAGCATTGCAAATTACATTATTGATATCTACCTATCTTCAAGTTGTTGCAATCAACTCTTCTCCATATCGAAAACACTATATCTACCTTCTCAGAGGTAGGAGTAAGGTCTGTATACACTCTAAGCTCCATATACCATTACTTTGTGGCTGTTGATACTTGTTCAGCTATGGTAATACATCTTAGCTTATTCCATACTAAAGTTCATGTAAAAACACTGTATATAACACACAGATCCTATAATAACAAAACCTCAAATCATTCAGCTTACTACAAACTTCGATAACTGTATACTTTTAAAGGATATTAACAGCAGAATTGTACAATTTGAGTTTAATTCTCCACACATAGATATCTAACAATGAAACATAAAAAAAATTACACCGAAAACAGCAAATCCCATTACATTTCACAAAAGGAATATGATAGCCTTACAGTTTCTGGTCATCATCGATCTCGAGCTTCTTCTGGCACCCAGTAGTCGGGTTCGCAATGTTGAACTGCAAAAAACAAACAACAAAATCACAATAAGTTAAGCAAATTCACTAAAAAATTCGTAAAAATCTACAAAAATTGATAGAAACTGGAGATTTTAGGGTTAATTAACGTACCTTCATCTTCGATTGAACTCAATGGAGGCGATGAAACTCTGAAACTTTCACTCTGAGCCTCTCTCTCTCACACACTCTCTGAGCTAGGGTTTACAGAGAAGACATTTTTATATACAGGCTTTTCTAGGTCAGCTATGTAATGGGCTTTGGCATTTGGGCTTTAGAAATTTTGGGTCATTATGAAGTATTTGGGCCTTTTCTATATAAGTATGTCCTTTCAAAAAAAGGCCCATTTTATAATGTTGGATTTTAGGCTACTATTTAAATTTTGTCCTTACTTTAGAAACTTGTTTGAATATATAGCCTTTTAGAAATTAGCTATCTAAACGACGTTAAACTCAGGTCTAATGTTTGTAATAACTTTAAAATTTTAGATAGTGGTATATTGTTTTTTCATAATTTTTCTGTTTGATTAGCAGGAATTTTTATACTTCGATCAAGATTTGGCAAAATCAACCATCAAATCATGACTCGTCCAATTCGTTTAGGTTAGGACGAGTTTAATAACCTACTTATTTTATTAATTAGGTTCATTTTGATCCGTTTAGCTATGTAATGGGCCTTGGGCTTTAGAAATTTTGGGTCAATTATGAAGTATTTAGGCATGTCCTTTTCAAAAAAGGCCTATTTGATAAAGTTAGACTTAGGCTACTATTTAAACTTTGCATGTCCTTTTCAAAAAAAGGCCTATTTGATAAAGTTAGATTTTAGGCTACTATTTAAACTTTGTCCTTATTTTTAAAAAGTTGTGCAAATATCTAATGTTTGTGTAACTTTTTGCTAAAATATTAGATTGTCATCTAATGTTTGTAATAACTTTAGAATTTTAGTGAGTGGTGTATTGTTTTCTCATAAACTTTTAGTTTGCTTAGAAGGAATTTTTATAAGAAAAACGACAAAAATCCCTTCCTTAAGTTCACTTATTATTCTTATCCCTTAATAGTTTTAAAAACATCTAAAATTTCTTATTTTCAAGTTAATGAAGCGGATACAAAAATGTGACAAAAATAGAGGCGGATACACAAAAGTAACAAAAAATGAGACGGATACAAAAATGTGATAAAAAATAATATAATGTATCCGACACCTTTTTATTGTATCAGCCCTATTGTGTATATCCCTGTTTTGTATATTTTTGAATGATTTTGGTCATTAGAAACTTATAAGGAACAAATGGTCATTTAGCCATAAAAATATGTTATTTATGTCATTTGCCTTTTTGTATACTTTGATAAATGGCAAAATCAACCATAAAATCATGACCCCTATAATTCGTTTAGTATAATTCGTTTAGGTTAAGATGTGTTTAATAACTTGATTGTTATATTAACTTGATTCATTTTGATCCGTTTAGGTTAGTCTATTTTAAAACTAGCTTGATGTGTCATATGCTCATGGGAAACTATTAAAAAATTATTTTTTATTTATTATGTTTTATATAATCATAGTATAAGGAAAAAGTTTTATTAGGTACTAAAGCAAATTATGAGAAATCAAAATTTGGATTTAGAACTTATTAAAAATTGACAAATTGAGTTATGATTCGATTTTCAGTTTATTTCAATACAAATTGCTTCAACTCAAATAACATTAAGTTGGACACTAAATCCATTATTTTTTTACGAGTTAATTAACTGAACCTTTTATAATTTTTTTAAATTCATTTTTATGGTCAATGATACTATCTATCTAACTTTGTGATACTTAAAAGATGAAATAATTGGAGTATTATATTATTGAAAAATTGCTAAAGATGTGAGGTACTTATCTTTATTTTAATAATAACTTTTATGAATAATTTGTTTGTAGATATTCTCCCAATTCTTTGTAATTTAATCTTGTCAACTTTATAATTTCTAATAATGTCATCTTTACCAAAAAGGAAAATAAGATAACGTAAGATTTTTGAATATACCAATAATTGTTCGATACATGTCTCAAAACAATTAGTTTACCTTATGCAATCACTAATTTACAAAAAGTTAAGATTCTTTTTTTTTTATTATTATTTACAAAAAGGAAGAAAAATAACAAATAATTAGTTGGAGGAATAATATTTTCATATTTTCATTTAATTTCATAATATTTATGTATTAATAAAAATGTGTCCTTTAGTATTGACGAATTAATAACTTTCCCTCAAATTCTATCGTTAAAAATTATTAATAAAATTTAAATTTTAAATTCGTCTTTGCATTTAATATTTAGTACATTCTATAATCAGATACTCTAATAAATTAGCTATGTAATTTATTGGTAACTTTTAGATAATTCATCGCAGCTAATTAAATTTTCTTATAATTCGTCACTAATACGTAGCTATATGGTATTAGCATGAAATTTTTACTATTTAGCTAATCTATCACGAAAGGTGTTACTTCAATTTTTACTGTTCCATCCTTTGTTGCTTCGCTCATCCTCAATACAAGGACAAAACCGTCATTTTTTAATTAGAGAAATAAATCGATACCTTTTCGTAAAAAATAATTTTACGCTAGATAGATAATTTAAACTAAATTTCTAACTCCGCTACTGTTAAAAAAAATAGAAAGAAGACAAGGTGGATTATGAGAAGATAGGTGAGTGGTAAATTAAAGGCAAATTGGGAAAAAAAAATATGATGAGAAACGTGGAATTCCAAAGAAAAAATGTAAAGCAGGTGGGAGCATAGTGAGACTCCAACAAGAAAAAATTGTCTAGCAAAAGATAGATAAGTACAAAATGTACCGTCAAAAGTTCGTGTCGTAACGTGGTAAATACTCTTTTTATCTTCGATTAGAGATCTGATGTTTGTATATGCATGAAACCTTTGGTATAGAGCGTTTTACTTTCAAAACGAGAATTTTTTTTATATGAACATATAAATTAATCGAATTTAATATAAATATCAAATATCGAGTAAAAAACGAGAAAAAAAGTAAGAAAGGTGGTGAACAAGCCTAGCACGTATAGCATGCCTTGTTTGCCTTTTTTCCATTCACAAAAAGAAATGGAAACGTAACGTATTGCCGCAAATGTTTTTGTCTCCTTTAAATTTCGTTTTTTTTCGACAAACGAAAGAATAATTGTTACGTAGAGTTAGAATTTTAAGTTCATAAGTTTAAAATTTGTCATAGCTAGTAAGACTCCCTTTCAATCATCTCAAAAAGATGTTTTTGTCGATGTGATAATTTAACATTTCTAATTTACTAATTCGACTAATTTATAATTAAATCAGCAAATCAATTAAAATATAATCAATCTTTATTTGGCGATTGATAACGACTTTTAATTATTAAAATTTAAATTTCGTGACTCAAAAAAAGAATCGAGAGAAAGGGAAGAATTCAAGTTGTATGTAGAGTTCTTTGTATTTTGCACTCGTAATGTATGATATCCTTTAATATATATTTTTTTTATTATAAGTGATTTAATAACGTAAGAATATATATCTTTTTATTATAAGTGATTTAATAAGGTAAGAATATATATTGACCAATCATAATTCATAGTTAAATATTAAAATTTTATGAATAAACAAATTATTGACTTAATATAAATATTAAATATCGTATAAATTTTTATCTGAATTGAAATAGACTTATATTTCTTTTTAAAAAATTATGTAAAATGTCATCCTCTTTGACATAATACTTAAAACTTAAAAATATCTTTTAATAAAAATCTAGAATCCTCCTTAAAGTAATTTATATTGGTTTCTTTGTCATAATTAAACTCTATTTGAAAGAAAGTAATTTTTTTTAACTTCATAATTCCATTTCTCAAAGTGAACTTCATAAAGTAATTCTCCACTAATCTACTTCAATATAAATTAATTATTTCATATATATGATTTTATCTTTTTTATTTTTATGGCTTTTTTTACTCAACTTTGTGAAGTACTACTAATAATCAACATAATTAAACAAAAAGAATAAAAAAAATAAATAAAATCTTAAGTGGTACATGTATGAGTCCACTTACCAAATTTTCTATTTATTGCATTTTTGTATGTGTTTCCTTAAAGAGAAGCAACAGTATATATTTATTTAAAAAAAATGCTACTACTTAGAAAAGATATATAAGTCTTTTTATTTTAAAAATAAATAAATGGTGAATAACATATTAAAACTCAAATTAAGTCACACATGAGTTGTTCAGTTGATAGTGAAATAATAATACTGCGAGAAAAGGAGAGAAAAATAGATTCTCGTTGTTATTAATATACTGAGGATAACTTCTTTCTTTTCACCGATTTAATTAAAATATTAGTTAAAATAGTTATCGATCATTTTCGCACGAGAAATTTCAAATTATTTTTAAAGATATATTATTATGTATCTTTAGCTATTGGATGTATTATCTTTTCTTCTTCTTTTTTTTTTTTCTCAAAAAGAAAGAAAACATGCAAATTAAAGAAGCAACCACCTTAAGAAAAAAATAATTATAATTAAAAAGTTGAAAGATAAAAACAGACAAATTAAATAATTTTCCTACACATGATTAGAAGCATGTTCCTCTAATTTTATGGAGTGGAACTCTACTTTTAATTTTTTTTTTTTTTTGGACATATCTCTTTTTTACTTTAATTTCGTACATAGCACCCAAATTAGTCTATGTTCATTTTTTTGCTACTTATATATAGTGTTGTAATTTAGAAAGCAAACTCATTATTATATTCTTCTTTTAAAAAAAAAATGGAGTGGAGGAAGAGTTATTTGGATGTAATATTGGTGCCATTAGGGTTTGTAATATGCATGGGATATCATATTTGGTTATGGCATAAGGTTAAAAATCAACCTCTAACAACAATTATTGGTACTAATGCCAATGGAAGACGTTTGTGGGTTGAAGCCATCATGAAGGTAATTATTAAATCGTTAATTTTTCATTGACGTATTGTCAGAGTTAAATTTTTTTGATAATTTTCTGAGTCAATTTTTTATGAATTTTGTTGGAAATTGGCAATTTTCTATGTCTAGTGAGTAATAAGGATGTCATGTGGGTGATTTTTCATCAACTCATGTAGTGTGGTTGTATGAGCTATTTGGTTGTGGTGTGGGTAGTCGTGATATATTAAACTTCTTTTTTGGTAAATTTTAATATAATAAATCATATTCGAGATCAATGAGTTTCACTTATTTGTCTTTTACACTATGACTCGAATATTTTTTAATTTTTCATTTTGTATCTCGTATGATTCATATTTTCCTTTTCGTGGCCTTAGGCCGGAGGAGAGGGAATGAATCGAGTCAGACAAATAGACCGGTTTATCGATAATGATAACTTTAGTAATGGTCATTTTGCAATTAGCACTCTTTGTATGAAACTTAGGCCAATGTTTATGTCCTTTCAAAGTAGTCATCGCGATATATCTATATATATATATATATATATATATATATATATATTCTTACTT